GGGTATGCGGATGCTGACACGTGGGCAGGAAAGCGAGGCAGAGCCGCCGCCGCGGAAGGCCGGGCTGAGGGCTCGGCGTCACCAGGCAGTGCTGCAGAGAGCTGCGCGGCACCCGGAGTTGGATTATGTGTGGCTGGTGTGAGCTAGAGAGGAGTCAGTCGCCCACAGGCTCTCACCACGCGAGTTTTTCTTGTCCCATTCGGCTGCTCCGCAGTGTGGAGGTCGCATAGTTAACGCACGTCGTGGTTGTGTTGCTCCACAGCACTGACTGTGCTTCACCTTTGCAGACAGAGGCTCCGGGCTGGCGCGGTGGCTCACGCCTTTAGTCCTAGCACTTTGGGAGGTCGAGGCTGGAGGATGACTTAAGCCCAGGAGTCCGAGGCTGCAGTGAGCTACGATCACTTCACCGCACCCCAGCCTGGGCGACAGAGGGAGACCTTATCTCCCTCTGAAATAGTGTAAAATAAGGAAACTAGAAATTCGATAATGCCCCAAGGAAATTCTTTCTCAGGAATATATGTGTTTGTTAAATGGTTCAGTATATGATTTATTTTTTATTTTATTTTATTTATTTATCTGAGACGGAATCTTGCTCTGTCGCCCAGGCGGGAGTGTAGTGGCACCATCTCGGCTCACTGCAGCTTCCGCCTCCATGGGTTCGTTCTAGCGATTCTCCCCACCTCAGCCTCCCAGGTAGCTGGGGTTATAGGCATGCGCCACCACGCCCGGCCAATTTTTGTATTTTTAGTAGAGATGCGGTTTCGCCGTGTTGGCCAGGCTGGTCTCCCAACGCCTGACCTCAAGTGATCCGCCCGCCTCGGCCTCCCAAAGTGCTGGGATTACAGACGTGAGCCTTGCCTCAGTATATGATTTATAAACTTTATGCTATACGAGGGTTCAGTTATGTATTTATACATACTTGGTAGGAAATGCTAAAGTTACGCATTCCTATGGATGTCTTTGGCGCTTTTAAAACTAACGAGGCCGGCACGGTGGCTTACGCCTGTAATCCCAGCTCTTTGGGGGCCAAAGCAGGTTGATTGCCCTGAGCCCAGGAGTTCAAGACCAGCCTGGACTCATCTCTATAAAAAGAAACTAAAAAATAAAGCTCTAATGACAGTCATTAAGACAGGCTGCCAAACGCCACATTACTAGTGTTAGCGGTCTCAGTGTACTTGGGTGGTTTTAAAATGACACCCATTTGATCCGCAGAACGACGGTGCTTCCTGATATGTTCACGTTATTCGTCTTTTAGAATATGGAAGAGAAAGTTCTTAGTTCTCGAAATATTGTGTAAAATATAAAGTGACAACCTGGATCTGTTAAATTACATTCATCTATCTCAGTGTACTCTCACAGTAAAAATTATCTTTTTATACAGGTGGAACTTATATTTTAATTTACTTGCTAAATAAATCATTGCCATTAATTGTACTTGCGCTGCGTTTTTCAGTGAAAAATATACTCTGACCTGAATCCTGAATTTTCATTGATGGTCAAAAGATTAAGGTATCAAATTCCCTTTTTACTAGATGTATTATCGTTTTACTCTCTTACATCACAATCCCCCACTCCTGCAAAAAACCCTTGGAGTTTCAGAATAACATGATTGGCATCAGTAAACATACGGAAATATTTTTCTTTTTGGATTAAATTATTTGGTTATGTTCTGAGGAAAAGGGTTTAAAAGCTTAGTTTTATTGTCTTTGTTTATCTTTATAACCTTAGCCTTCAGAAAAATAAATGTTTCACTTTGCTGCTTCTGTGGCCTGTTCACCTGAATTCAAGAAGGTGGAATTGGGGCTAAGGAGGTGTCTTACACCTGTAGTCTCAGCACTTTGGGAGGCTGAGGCGGACGAATCACTTGAGGTCAGGAGTTCAAGACCAGCCTGGCCAACATGGTGAATCCCCGTCTCTACTAAAAATACAAAAATAAGCCAAGCATAGTGGGGGGGCCTACAAAAATTAGACAGGCGTGGTGGTGGTGGAGCGGTGCTCGTAGTTCCAGCTACTCAGGAGAACCGCTTGAATCAGGCGGAGAGGTTGCAGTGAGCCAAGATCGTGCCGTTGCATTCCAGCCTGGGCAACAGAGAAAAGACTCCATCTCAAAAAAGGAAAGGCAGAATTGAAGAAGCTTTGGAAGAGGTGAGGAATAGAGTTGTGGAAATTACTATTTTTTTTTTTTTTAATTGAGAATCTCCTATGTGTAGGTGCCTTGCAAACTGGCTTCACGAGTACCCTATAAAATAGATGTTTTTATTTTTAAAATCATCATTATGTTTTTGTTTTGTTTTAGACAGTCTTGCTCAATTGCCCATGCTGGAGTACAGCGGTGCAAACTCAGCTCACTGCAGCCTCTGCCTCCCAGGTTCTAGTGATTCTCCTGCCTCAGCCTCCCAAGCAGCCGGGTTTACAGGTACTTGCCACCATGCCCGGCTAATTTTTTTGTATTTTTAATAGAGACGAAGTTCCACCGTGTTGGCCAGGCTGTTCTGAAACTCCTGGCCTCAAGTGATCTGCCCACCTTGGCCTCCGAAAGTGTTGGAATTACAGGTGTTGAGCCACTGCATCTGGTCATTATGTTTTAAAATTACATGCAAGTAAAAAAATGTGAAGAGTAGAAATAGGTTTTTAAAAAGCAGAATGAAATTATCCATTTCTTCCCCCCATTTAGTGAATATTTGCAGTATTTCTTTTCAGACTATAGGTATTATAATTCCTGATTTATTAGAAGCAGCGAGTGGCTGGGGGTGGTGGCTCATACCTGTAATCCCAGCACTTTGGGAGGCCTAGGTGAGCAGATCACCTGAGACTGGGAGTTGGAGACTAGCCTGACCAACATGGAGAAACCTCATCTTTACAAAAAATACAAAATTAGCCTGGTGTGGGGGCGCGTGCCTATAATACCAGCTGCTCGGGAGGCTGAGGCAGGAGAATCGCTTGAACCTGGGAGGCGGAGGTTTCGGTGAGACGAGATTGCGCCATTGCACTCCACCTGGGTAACAAGAGCAAAACCCCATCTAAAAAACAAACAAACAAACAAAAAGAAGCAGGGAGTGAGGCCCACAGAAACCAAACAAGTTGTTGATGATCACCAAGCTTGTAAATAGGCTGAGATTCAAACCTGTGTATCAGACTCCAAAGTTATCCTATTTATACTATTCCAAGAAGTATTTTAAGTATTTGTTCCATTTAGTTAGAAATTATGTACTGTGATATAAAGTCTAATGAGTTTCAACTTTACATTTATGATTACTTTTGTAAAATATACAGATAATTTGCAAAGTAAAGTTTTTTGATTTTTATTTTTTGAGACAGAGTCTCACTATGTCACCCAGGCTGGAGTGCAGTGGCACGATCACAGTTCACCACAGCCTCCACTTCCTGGGCTCAGGCAATCCTCCCACCTCAGCCTCTTGAGTAGATAGGACTATAGGCGCCTGCCGCCACTCCCGGCTAACTTTTGTATTTTTGGTAGACGTGGGGTTTCACCATGTTGTCCAGGCTGGTCTCGAACTCCTGGGCTCAAGCGATAAGCCCGCCTCTGCCTCCCAAAGTGCTGGGATTACAGGTGTGAGCCACCATGCCCAACACAGTGAAGTTTAATTATTCGTAGTAATTTCCCATTCAAATGAAGACCAAAATTCAGC